TTATGCATACCATAGGTGATGTATGTTTTTTATACTTATGTCCTAATTTGTACGTTTTATACACGTTGTATAACTATATTATACTTCACACGGTGCCTGGTAATTTTTAATCATAATTCACATAGTGGTTAAAAATCATGATGTGTGGTCCCCAGCCAAAGAGGAAGTAAATACAAAATCAGAGTATGGATGAAATTAACAGTTTTATCAAGTTGGAATTTAGATATAAACATTAAGTATGTATTAAAAATGTTGGGTTACATGAGGTGTCGTTTCATTATCGCTTTCCTATGGTCGTAGCAATTTATTTTAAACTTCGAACCGAGCGACGTGTATTACTTTACGCTCACGGTTTAATTCATTCTCAGAAAACCCTTGGATTTGCTAAATTTCCGGTTTCAAATGGTAAAATCCTAATAAACCCATAAAAAGGTTGACGCCAAGGCGCCCGAGCGTTCGACTACCTAACGGTACTTGGAATTTTCCGTGCGCGCGCAACTGTTGTTGATCTCGGACGACCCCACGTGCGAGTCACCTGAGACATTCGAGGACGAAGTAAAGGACGGTACCTAAAAATTTGGCACGTCCAAGTGGGTCAACCAATCGGCATTGGAGGAGTCCCACCTTTACATTTTTTCGAGGTTTTTTCCGGAGACACTCAAGTATTTTCAGAATTACCAACATTACTCCTCCCACGCGATTCTCTGATTTGAGAATCCCAATTTTGTTAATCTCCTACTCTGCAAGGGAGGCACGGTGGACGGTACCTTCGAGAGCTTTCCGATTCTCGAAGAGCGTCACTTGGTTCACAAATTTCAACCACTCAAGTTGATACAATAATCTCAACAAGAAAGTTCATACACAAATCTCAACAAGAGAATTCATACACAAATCTCAACAAGAGAATTCATACACAAATTTCAACACAGAATTCATGCACAAATCTCAACAAGAGAATTCATACATAAATTTCAATACACAGAATTCATACACAAATCTCAACAAGAGAATTCATACACAAATTTCAACACACAGAATTCATACACAAATCTCAACAAGAGAATTCATACACAAATTTCAACACAGAATTCATACACAAATCTCAACAAGAGAATTCATACACAAATTTTAACACATAGAATTCATACACAAATTTCAACAAGAGAATTCATACACAAATTTCAACACAGAATTCATACACAAATTTCAACACAGAATTCATGCACAAATCTCAACAAGAGAATTCATACACAAATTTCAACACAGAATTCACACACAAATCTCAACAAGAGAATTCATACACAAATTTCAACACAGAATTGCTCATATATTTTTTGTTTCGAAATTACATTGAATTAATTTCGTTTGAAATAATATGGCGTGAAATAACTGATAAACTCATTTTTTTTTTAATTTTGACTTAGACCACTTTCATAATTATGGGCACATATATAATTTTCATATGCAAGAGACATAGATATTTATGGTATATATTCTACAGTCGTACACATAAAATAGATCCATATACTCACAAAAGATAGATTTTTTAGGTGGATAATAGACAATATACATTTGCTACACCTATAGACCTAATTTAGACGGTTAATTGACGGGTATTCTACTTCAGGTGGTGTCTGAGTGTATACGTTCTTCCAATAACATTTTGAAGGATAGACATTTGTTAGTCTAGAAACTTCATGAATCACGAGTCGTACGGCAAATTCAAATTACGTTCTACAAACTACTTTTCTCGGTCATAATGCACGTAACATTCGTCGAAGCAATAAATTCGAATTGTTCGCTTTTATCTTCAATTAAACGTGTGCCGCAACGACGATGTGCCCGTGCAACTTTTTTCCATATTGCGCCATTCAAGGAAATCATTAACCCCACTTCGAGAAATCATTTTCAAATTACCAAATAAAATGAAATAACCAGTTTCAATACAGATTATTTTTCTGCTTCCATTACATCTCAATAATGCATTATAACAATGATAACAGTGAGTCTCGAAACAGCAACGCCATCTCACAATATGCTATAGAAATGCTACATTTTCCCGAATCAAGAAACTTGGTAGAGTTTCGAGCCAAATACATTTGGGCGTCATGTTTTTATACAGAACATTTCAAGAAATTTTCTACCAAACTGTTGGAAATTGCTCTTTCGGATTACGACTACGTGAATTTGTAAAATATTAATAACAGCACCCTAGTAGCACAAAATATTTGTCCTATATTTTCTATATATTTAACGAATATCGTACATTTTGTAAATATTTAGCAGACATTTGAAATATTTGCAAAACGTTTACTTTAGAATATTATCNAAACTAAATATGTCATTGAGATTTTGAACAAATATGTCAGATATGTTCGAATGAAATCCACAAGAAATCTTAAAATATCTGTCGCTTGAGATATTTAACAAAGATTACAAAGAAATATTTAGAAATTATTCTATGCTACTAGGGTACCTACTCGTTCACTGTTAATAAGAATCATGTTTTCCTCGCGTGACTGCGAGAGGAGGAAAGTTAGAAAGATTGAAGCGAACTAGGATGATAAAAACGGAAGGTTTTACGACGGCAAATCAATTAACCAAGTCTGTTCTCTTCCGGGTGAATGTTCTAACCGGTATTTGGCACAAACGCTCTTATTCGATCGATTTGCTGAAATAATGGATGTATATAGTCAAGTGCGTGTGCCTCTGTCGGATCTTTCTTATATCACGATTCTTAAACTAAACGCAGACTAAGTCACTTCCGGGAGAAACCAGCCGGAGATAACCAATAAGAACAGTATCGAACCATTGAGAATGTTGTCTTCGTTCCGCGAACTGTATTTTTTACGCCACAGTTCAGTTAAAGACAGGTCTAAACAATCATTCCATAATTTACAGAAAATTAATAAACCGTAAGTTGTTCCCAATTTTCTTTGCCACGTATTTAAGGTGAAGTGAAACCCTCTTCAAATCAGTCGATTCGAATACAACACTTTTTTTTAAGGGTATTGGACCAACCTGTCCGAACCTTTGACACATGACTCGTGGTCATCTAAGAATTGTCCTGACCCATTCAGAATTTGGATTTTTGGAAAAAATTTTATAACTTAGCCCAGACCAGAACCAGAATGGCGTCGAGCTCTCATATTTCGATCAATATACAATTATCGAAGGCTCTGATATGAGAAACGAAACGGTCAGGGCAATTTTTCGACAATTTAGAACACTCTGGTAATCGATAAACTCGCATTTAAACGGGATAAACGGCAAAAAAAAGTGTTGTATGCGCTTCTATGCCAAAACGATGGTAATACGAGGTCTCGGAGTGAAAATTTAATCGACCTGGAAATCACAGATGGCGCAGGGGGTCCCTCTGCAGTCAATTAGGGCCCCAGAAAGCATGAATCCAGAGGATCTCTGGAGTTTTACTTCGATTTCTTTATAATTATTGTACGAATACGACAGGTGGAGTATGCCATTTGGTACAATACCCAATATAATTCGACCCAGCTGTCAATATAAAAACGAACGTCGGCGACGTAGGTATTTAGAAAAATCTTCTTTATCGACGTCGATCAAGTTCCACGACGTGTTTCACTTCACCTTAAATGCTAAAATTCATACTTATAGGACTTATAAATGTAAGTTCCTTAATTATAAATCATTGAAGGGACGTCGAAGTATTAACAAAGTTGTTGCTTAACGGTAACGTAATTACACCTAACAGGGTAAATGTTCACAACGACGTTAACGTGCTATTTTAGATATTATATAATTAATTTAACACCAACCTATTTTATTTTAACATCATAATAACATAATAACATAAATTAATGTAACATCAACCTACGTTAATCGATTTTATCGATGAATTTTAATTCGTTAAGGCGGTGTACATGGTGCATTATTCATGCAAATTTATAAATTGTCACCATTGCAACAATGGACAAGATAAATAATGGAACTCGTCACACCTTCTGCCTCCCTAGGGTGTAGGTCAAATAGAATTGACTCTCGTCTATTAAAAACAGCCATTAACTTAAAATAGTATCGATCCTGACATGCGATGTGCACTTCTGATCACGAGATTCAAATTGACTCAAAAATCTCCGTGTTCAGTCCTTTGCAATGAGGACATATTAGTTATAAGTTGATCCGTGACCGATCCAATCAAAGATAAGAGTTACGAGGGGTTAACATTGCATGAGTCACGTTGTAGTCTGTTAATGTTCTGAATTACTTGACATTGAGTTACTCGATATGAACCGTTTCATCATTTTCCACTCATATATTGCGGTGGAACAATACCATTCTATATATTCTTCCAGTTTGACAATAAACATTGATTTTGTCACCCGATATAAAATGAATGAAGGTAAATGAGGAAGGTAAATAGAATAGATAGCACTAGACATGGCCCTCAAAACACTTTTCAGCTATGTATATAAAGCTGGAATTGCCACAGTAGCACAATTTAATAAAATTTGTTGAAAAATTCATTGCTAATTTATTGCTATTTTATTGCACGAGAAAAATATTTTTTGCTCCTACACTTTTCCGAAAAATGGTGGCGATGTCAGCTTTATATAAAGCTAGCACTGCCACAATAAAAAACAATTATTAGGTAAATGTTCATCGATGAATTATATACCAGAACTTATTGCTAATTAATTGCTCGCGGAAAAACCAAATTTCAATTTTTTTGCTCACCCCTAAAGGGGTGAATCGCCACTCCTAGTGCTGATCGCAGGACAGAAACATGAAAAACATGGGAGAATCGAACTATTTCTTCGCGTGGGAATTAATTGCTAATTAATTGCTCCGAGAAGAACCAATATCTTCGTAAAAATACAATTTTCAAACCTACATTAATTAGCGATTAATTCCCACGTGAAGAAATAGTTCGATTTTTCCATTTTTTACGTGGTCACACTGGGGCGACATAGGCAGGGCTGACCTACTACCTTAGGGGTTGTGGAAAAAATTTGAAGCGGTGGAAGACATCGTCCCCACTTTGGTGGTGAACGCCGTTAAGGCGTCTTCGAAGTCACGTAGTCTTAACATCTCCCGCTCATTTATGCGTGTTTCTACAATAAATGTCTCCTAACTGAGCAATAAAAGAATCTCCAGACATCGATTTTGAAAATGCCAATTGGTTATTCCCTAAGATTATAAAATCGCTTTTCTATTCACCTGGGCCTAACCCCATTTATCTGAATTCCAGGTAGCCGACACGGAGGATGGTGGCGTCTCAGAACGACGGGGGCAGAAGCGGAGGTGGCGGCGGCGACGTCGGTGACGACGCGTCGGTCTACACGGTTTCCGTGAGTGGCGTGGGCTACAGAAACGAGGGCTACAAAGAGGACGGCACCGACGGCATCCCGCCCGAGCCCACGAAGCCGCCTCAGCTCCCGGTCCCCGACGACGACACGCAATCCCGGAAGTGCAAATTGACCAGGGGAGAGAAATGGCGTATCCTGAAAAATATCGGGACGGTCTCGGTAGCGTTTATGGTGCAGTTCACCGCGTTCCAGGGAACCGCCAACCTGCAGTCCTCTATCAACGCCAGCGACGGCCTGGGGACGGTTTCCTTGTCCGCCATTTACGCCGCCCTCGTGTTGTCCTGCATCTTCGTGCCCACCTTCGTCATTAAGAGGCTCACCGTGAAATGGACGCTATGCGTCTCCATGCTGTGCTATGCGCCTTACATTGGGGCCCAATTCTACCCCAAGTTCTACACTCTGGTGCCTGCCGGAGTCTTGTTGGGTTTGGGTGCTGCCCCGATGTGGGCGGCCAAAGCCACCTATCTGACACAGGTTGGAGGCGTCTACGCCAAGCTGACCGATCAGCCCGCCGACGCCATCGTAGTCAGGTTCTTCGGGTTCTTCTTCCTTGCTTGGCAGACTGCCGAACTTTGGGGCAACCTCATCTCGTCGCTGGGTAAGTGTGAGGCTGAAATATCTCAACGAGTTTTAACGAACCAAATAAAGGAAATTTGATAAAGTGATGCATATACGGCAATGATACGCAGAAGTTGGGCTAGTAAGTATTTAGCCGATTCAGGGAATTCATCTCGCTTGGATTGCAGAATTCCTTCAGCGATGATCACTGCGTGCCACCGCGGTATGTCATTTGACCACCTTTGCAGTTCTGCTGAACTAGCTGGTTGTATTCGACATTTTTATTTTTGTTCCGTGCGCGACACTCATGTGTTTAAATTCATCGTGGCTTTTGAAATGTCAGACAAATTTCCAGAAAGGGACTTACTGCCTGCTTGGGCCCATCGGGCCATTTACCAATTTAGCAATTTCCTGACTTCGAAATCCGTTCGTAAATTTTAGTTTTCTACGATATGGTTATATTGCCCCGTACGTCCCATCGCGAAGGTTTAGGGTTCTTTAGAATTTTCTCGGGTTGACCGTCCCTATTCTTTACCGTCATACCTTTTTTAACTTTACCGCTAACACGGGCGTGCAACATGCACACGGACATACAGCATGTTTCTCCATCTGCACGGCAGCTAAAAATTGTCCGTTTTCACCCAACCGTATTGGACAGCTTTCGACCAATCACGAGGCTGACTATTCGATTTTAACCGGCCTTCTTAAAATCAGTCAGCCAATCTCTATGTAAGAAATATGCTACCACCTCCTCAAAAAATGTAATGCGACCGGAGGAGGAATCCTGTGTTTTTTCTGTAAGTCAGTTAGTCTCCGTCTCTCGATAGAATTCAACGTCTCTCGTCAGCCTTCGCCATCATCTCTGCAACTGTTACCGGTATTCACGCGTGAAGAGCTGACAAAATTCAACAAGTCATTCGTCAATTTAATATTATAATAAATTCAAGTCTGTTTTGTTCGCGACAAGTCTCACTTCATTCGGGTACGTTCCTTTTTCACGTGAGCAGTTGTACGAATTTTGCAAATCTACTTGCAAAAACAATCGGGATTCATACAACAACTGCCCGACAAACTAGCCGGGCAGAACAATTTTAGAGCGTGATATTTACTATTTGGATAAAAATGATGGTTTTATGGCTACCGATTCGGAGAGAACTAGCAGTTACTAGTTATATTTATGAGCAAACTTTCGCTAGTTGTGCCCCAATATTTAGTAAAAACGTACACTTGGAGTAAAACATAGTGCCCGCTGTTAAAAACACGTTCATGGACGCTTCTTATCGGAACTACCCGATGGTTTTGCTATTCCAACCTCCAAGAAACATTTCACTTGGAGAGCTTTCATCGATAGTGCTTCGAACGTTGCGACGAATTTAAAATATACGATATCGTAACTTTCGGTCAAATTTCATAAGCCTCTCCCTTTAAGGGCACCGGCGAGAAACAGGATAGCCGCATTGGTGCCAACTTATGCAATTGATGCTGACTGGACGAATCAGAGCGCGAATCATCGAGTGACATGCATGTGCATTGCGACGCAATCGTCGCTGCGATTCGAACAGGGCTTGACACTTGGAACAGTGTCAGGAATTTCAGCCACGTGCTTTTTTCTTCGTCTTTCTGTTTCGCTCGAGCGGTTTTAAGTTCGACCTGATCTAATTTGCTGCAGAAACAGTTAGGCGGCGCCAAGCGTGTTTACATATCACATTTTGACGCATAACGCCATACAGACACATTCCGACGAGTTCTTTGGATGGTGCTCGCAGACGTTACCGTATTTGTCCGCGACATTTGCGACGTTAAAATATTTGTACTTAAAAGTATACAGAAAAGGAAGACGATATAATTGAGCAATGTTGGTGCGGTTGAAATGTAGTGGAAGGAGTTAAATTACGGGTGACTAAATGAAAGACAGATTATTCGCAGGTTAACACACACACGAGATTCCAGGCAACATGTGATATGTGCCCATAATTATGAAAGTGGTCTAAGTCATATATTTCTTGTTTCGAGATATTTAATGAATTGCATTTGAATAAATTAAATAATATTTTTATATTATGCAACATTTTAATTTAGAATTTTATTAGTCTTGATTAATGGAAATTTATTATGAATATGAAATTTTGGGTGAATTTCATACGAAAATGTTGTTTTTAAAGTGTGAATTGACTTAGACCATTTTCAAAATTAACTGAATGTCCTATAAATGACTTAAAGCAATAAAAAACTACGAGTTTTATTAGAAACGATAATTTTAATGAAATAATTCATGAACATTTATTAATTATTTTTCAAAAGAAATCCATTTTTATCATTTTAGGCTTTCATCATTATGAGTTTTTAAGGTTTTTTCAAATGTTCCTGAAAAACTGGAGAGATGTAAACATAATATCTTTGTTTTTCTTCCATTACTGGTTTAGTGGTGGGGTATAATGGAAGTAATTTAATATTTCCGTATATTATTGGTCTTCCTCTTTTAGGCGAAAGTTTCAAAACGTGGAATTTAGAATCATCTAAAGAAGTATTACGTGGTCGTATAATATCTGCAAATCACATCATATCCGAATAGTAATTAACATATTCACATAATATGTACGTTGTCATTAACTTACCTGAACCGCTATCCGCGGACATAGTGGTAAAATATATAAATAATTCCTCCGCCAATAATTAGATCGGAAGAGCCCAACTGAATTAATGCACTTTCAAAATAGAACTAAATGAATTCCATGTATTGTTAGGTAGACCGGAAAGTATTGTCGTTTCTGTTATTGTTTGATTGTCATTTGTCGGCTTATCGTGTAGTTCAAAAACGCGCCAAAGAGGGCCACGTGCCATTTTAAGGTTATGTTTATATAATTTCTTTAAATTTTTTATGTAGACCACTTTCATAATTAACACTAAATGAATTCCATATAATGTTGAAATTACAACCACTCTCTAATGGTTCATTTTTGACAATATCGTAAAAATAACATTGAATTAATTTAGCTTAAGATAATGTGGGGTGAAATACCTGATAAACTCATTTATTTTTAATTTGGACTTAGACCACTTTCATAATTATGGACTCATATGTGAACATTTATACCAAGGAACTGATTTTGACGGAGAAGAGGCGTTTGATTGGGGTTTATCGGGAAATGATTTTCCTTATTGCTACATACATTTGAAAACAAACATGGCGTTGTAACTCCTCACGTGACAAGTGTTTGAATGATTATAATCGTACGTCTCTGTCAAGTAATTATTTCTTAGTCAACAAATGATCTTCCTTTGTCAAGATGTGTACGTGTCAATGTTTCACACAGTTTCGTATGGTAATCGCGGAAAATAGTGAGAAACTTATTTCGTCGATAAGCTCACATGATAGTTAGGCGCTTACGAATTCCCTCAATGAAGTTTTAAATGGTTTTTTCAACGCATAAAATTAGTGACGTCAACGGAATTACCAAATGAAAAACAAAATAAAACACGTTGTAGGTAAATGGCTGTAGAATCTTCGTGGAGATAGTACTGGTAAATACAAAATTTAACTATGTTTAACTTGCATAATCGCATTTAAATTGTTGGACAAAATAAAACCTACAAAGATCCTTTGTTATAAAAGATAACTATTATCATTAAGTTAACCCAGATAACAATGTGATGCAAAATTTACAAAAAATTTGTATCATAAAAAATCATGAAATTAATCATGAGGGTGTTGCTTGCGAGTCCTCATTTGAAACTCTGTAGTACAGAACGACGAACCAAAAATACTTAAATATGAAACGAAATTAAGTACATGCAATGTCTCAACGTTTGGACGAATATGTACATCTAAATTTATCTCACGCATTGCCGATAAACAATTGCAGCGTCTGTTGCTCATATTCGAGCGTGATAAATTTACCGCAAATGTTTCTTCAAATTAATTGCGTAATATCCGTACATTTATTGTAGGCATTTCATGCAGCAAATGGTCTGCAAATTGTTTGTTAATCGAATTTCCTCATCACATGATGATCATGAATTCCTATCTGGGTAATGCATAATGCTTTTCCGGAAAAAAGTTTCAACTTTGCTCGTAAGGTTCGTCATACGTACCTCACGTACCTTACAGTGGCATAATGGTGGACATAACAATCCATCAATGAAATTACCAATGTAGTACGCCTTATTCAGTTTTTCTGGAGTTTGATTGGCCAGTTCTTACCATTATGCTTATAGTTACTATCATGCTAGATGTGTGAACGCCTTAAGGTGACGTGAAACCTCCTTCAAATCAGTCGATTCGAATACAACACTTTTTTTAAGGGTATTGGACCAAACTGTCCGAAACTTTGACACATTACTCGTGGTCATCTAAGAATTGTCCTGACACACACAAAATTTGGATTTTTGGAAAAAATTTTTTAACTTAGCCCAGACCTAAGTCTGGGTAGTAAAGAATGCATTTTTATGATATGTTCATAAATTGAAAAATTTAATTTTTATATATGTTTATAAACTATTGAAACTGAACATGTCATTGAGATTTTCAACAAATATTTCAGATATCTTCGAATGAAATCTACAAGAAATCTTAAAAAGTCTGTCGTTCGAGATACTTAGCAAAGATTACAAAGAAATGTTTAGAAATTATTCTATGCTACTAGGGATTGGAAATTCATCTATTATCCTTTTTTCTCTTATCACTACTCCCTTCACAAAAGACTGCAATATAAATATTCCATAAGATCATTTCGTAACTGAATTTACTTTTCGGTTATTCTCCCAACCGAGAGCAAGTGCAACGTAAGAAATATCCAGTATACAGTAGTCCAATATTGGTTTCGCTTTTTCTATACCTTAGAATAGATTGCTCATTTTAAAATACTACTAACAAAGCCGTCATGCTGTCGGCACGGTATGCTGTTATCTAACGTGATGTGATCGAGCGGTTTTTATTTTCCTTTCGACGCGGAAACAGTGCAAGAGTTTTAACAGTGCATGTCGCGTAGGTGTATTCTACGATACACCGAGTATTGTACTTATTAGTCACGTGTTTCTTCA